GAATTTGCTAATTGTATTGCAGATAAAATTGGTAATATAAAGGTGCAAAAGATACTGATAAGCATGAAAAAAAAATAGAACAAATTGAAGATGTGAATGAAGATGTTGAAGATGATAAACAAAGTTGTGTCATCGTAGAGTGTAGAATGAATAAAGATGAAAAAAAGAATAAAAGTAACAAAACAAAAGTAATAGTTAGTATGGGTAGTGATGAACATTTACAAACAAGCAATGAAAGAAAAGAAAACTTAACTTTGTCAAGTAACCAACCAGCCAGAAAGATCGAATGCACAAGTAGAATATCTAACAGTAAGATCATTAATTGTATCTTAACATTCTTGAAATCAATATGACACATTTTTGATCCTAGAAAAAAACCTAAAATTAAATGTATATAAAAAAAAAAAGTATCATTAAAAGGTAGTAACTTAAACTAAAAATAAGTGTGATCGAATGATCACTAACTTAAAATTTGGATCATAATGGGTTGTGCACAATAGTCGCATATGGCAAAAAAGTGAATATATAAAAAAAAAAAAAGAGAAAAAAATGACACTAATAAAAACATTCACTGGAGCTCATACTTTACCAGAGGAAGATGTTATATAAATTTTTGTAAAATTGAATCAATGAATGTATTACCCCATTTTCTCACAGTAAAATAATTACATTTTTATAACTATATTTATCGATTGAACTACCCAGCATTGATTACTACATTTTTACATATTAATTTATTCATATTTATTATCATTTCACATTACATAACCATTAGCTATATATTATTACATTTTATCTTACATCTGTTGCTTCATATTTTGTAAATATTTTGGGAATTACTTTATTTTTATATCAAGAGTTAAGAAATGGAATGAGAATATAAAAGGTTGCTTTAGACGAAAGAAGTAGAAGATAGATGATAGTAAATAAATAAATATATAACCATCTTGTATATATCACATATAAATAATATGCTTAATAAATACTTGGTTATCTCTTTAACGCTTACGGCTCTAAGCTAAATTGGCTACATGAATACAAAGTCTCTCCCCAGATCATAACAACATACAAGATATTTATTAAAGATGCAAATATAAAGATCTGCAAATTAGTAGTTATACAAAGTATTATAGACTATAATAATATTTTGTATAACTACTAATTTGTAGATCTTTATATTTGCATTTTTAACCCCAAATATCTTGAGATTTACAAGGCTAATTTTAATAATCTAACTATTATTAAAACTAGAAAAATCTTTTCTACAACTTTACTTAGAAGCTCAAAAGAAATTTATTTATTAAAATTTTCTATGACATATTCTGTACTATGTAAACGCATATAAAAATAGAAATTTCTTTGTTGTTTTTGCATCTTGTGCAATGTTAGAATTAATTGATAATCAAACCGCAAAAAAAAAGAAACATACTACTCCTGCCCAAAGGGCTCAAATATTGCTTTCGTTGCAAAAAGAATACACCACAAGGGCTATAGACTGGGCCCATTGTATTAGCTCTTCTACCGTCTCCCATTTTAGATCTTTTTTTGCAGACAAACAAACAAATTATCGAATTTGAAAATGAGAGTGATAATTCTTTTGCTCGGGGACAGCTACAGGGACAAGTGACCACTTGCCAAACTCTTTTGCAAACTAAATTTACCCAAGAAGAACTAAGAAGTTTGCTGAACAGACAAAATGAACTTAGTAAATTGGAAAAACATTCAGTCATTTTGCAACAATAAAGAGTATTCACAATTATATAGCCTAAGTAGGATAAGATAACTTACAATTTCTTTTATCTTATTATTTTCTATACTTCCTTGTTATTCTTTTTTTTATCAACATTTGCTATTTTATTATCTTTACATTATTTTATCATTTCTTATAACATCTTATTAATAGTGTCTCGATTCTTTGTTTTATCTGGTCTTTATTATTGTCTTGTCTATTTTCAATAAACAAATTAAGATTCATTATTGTCTTAGTGTAAAATCATGTCATATTTTGAGAATTAGAGTCGGGATTCGAGTATTAAGGCTTTGTACCAGAAACATGGTTGCGGTGATTCTGACAAATATAGAAACCTATATATATATTTATACACTATATAATATAAATTTAATGTTTCGATCTGACTTAAATCATGGTAAATTAATGAATCGCAAAAATTCTGTGTCCTGACTCATTCAGTATCTACAAATTAACCTTCAATATTTTCCCTTTAGTATAGTTAAGCACCTAAACCATAAAAAGATTAATGCCTAAAACTTTAGTACAATTTTGTTTTGGCGATGTTTCTATTAAACGGAATTTAAAAGCTCATAGCCAAAAGTAGGAAATGAAACTTGTCTAAAGAACGATAAACTTCCAACTACCGTTTATTTCTGCATATAGTATTCCTAAAATAGCGACGTTCTCAATTATCTTTAATTAACGGGTCAGATTAGAGATGTGCAAGGTAATACTGTAAGTAATAATTGTGACGGATCATAATAAAATCCAGATCAAAATGAAATTATAATATAAAATCTCGAAAAATAAAATTTTT